CACAAAGCATCTTGAGAATTTCATATATCCCATGGAGAAGAGTTCTATTAACAGTCATTGGCATGGAGAAAAAGAGAACCGAAAGAGAGGTTCAGTCTAGAAACACATAATTAAAGAGAGGAGATTAAAGGCAAAAACAGCTTTTACTCCAGGGTACTCAAACCGCTTGTATGTTGCTCAGAGGATAAAAATAATGAAGTAAAGGTTAACAAATTGTTCTACGTAAATTGAAGAAATGTAAGTTTTTTTTATATAGATATCTACTGAAGATAGATTTTATATACTAGCTTATTTTAATTTATCCAAATCATGAGAATTCTTGAAAAAGGTTTGAGCAACATTGATTGGAAAATCTAGCTCTTTCCTGTTACTCTTGAGTCTTCTTGGTTTATTTTTTGGAAGCAGTTAAGAGTAGAAAAAGGTTTCACCTGCTGAGCAAATAAGCACAATGCTTTACTTTTCTTCTAGAGAGTACAATGTGGGCCATCTTGTGAGAAATTGATAGGATATGCACTGGGTGAAAAACAACAAACAGCAGGATCCCTCTGTGCTGCTTAAAGTTTTAAAGTATGCGATACCAGTGAAGTACAACTTAAATGGCAAATGGTCTATTTGAATATATATATGCTCAATATAATGTAAAACTTGTAGCGTATAAAACCTACAAATTACAGAATTAACTACTTTAAATAAACTGAAGCTGTCTTAAAAAAACATTTTTAAATAACCTGTATGTGGAAACATGCACGTTATGATAATGTTGTAAGCATCATGTGAATCTTTAATTGAAACACATTACGTGGCTCCATAGCGAGATTTTCTTCAATAGGTCATTACTTTTAGGAAAGCAACAAAACCACTAAGACATGCTGTGAAGGATCACATGCCAAACTATATTGCACATAATACACCATCTGTGCTGTATATACAGCTTGACCTGTGCATACCTCTCTGCCTTGCAGTTTAATAAGGCGAAAACAAACGTGCAAGTACCGTGAAACAGCTCCTGCTGACCCAGCAGGTAACTTATTGTTACACTTGCCTACAGTTAGAGTTGTAATCATGAGACCAGCCTGCTGTGATTTGTCACAACCTCCCTCTAAAGTGAAGGAAAGGCAATTGAATGGCTCACTATGAAATTAAGAAGACAAAGTGCTATGGGAGATGCTGAGACTTTACAATAACTTAAATCAAGAATGGTGTGGGATCACTAGCAATACAAAGGACTTAATAACAAAAATGAAAAACAAATAAGGATCATGGTTGGGGGTTGAAAAATTTAAGTCAAGAATGGCCTTTCTCATGTAAATACTGATTTTAACTGATGGAATTCATAGCACAAATTAATGTGTTAGGGTTAGTGTAAGGTTTAGCTTTCATAATTACAGCTAAATATTTATCAAAGTGAATGATACGTTAAACATTTCCAGTAATTTAATCCTACAACAACAAAATGGTAATGTAAACCAAAATCTAGATTTATTCATTCCTGGAGGCGCTTTATTCAAAGCAAAATCTAGGTTTGCACTGCTCGAAGCCTTTAACCACCTTACGACGGCCACAGCAAAGTATGTCAGAATAACTGAGAAATAATATTTTTCATAAACTTCTTTGACTAATGACAGGGCACATATTTTACCAATTTACATAGAAGACCAGTTACATAGAAAGCTTTGAAGGATATTGTGCTCAGCACAAAATAAATTGGATTTGGAAAGAAGGTGAGATTTTAGTCCTGGAAAACCATATGTAAAGTTTGATCATTTCTCCATTTCAAATATAGTGATCATTAGAAATTCAAGGAGCTGCTTTTTATCTTGGTTTAATTATGTGCTTCTCTGAATGTTGCCAATTAATTTGCTGCAGTGAAATCGTGCAAACCAAGCTTTGAAAAGAAGATGAGATATCGAGGGAGAGGCCTGGCCATCAAATGTGGTTATGATCAGTTGGATGCATTGAGACTTTGAGTTGCAAGGTGTTGGTGTGAGTGCATATATTTTAAATGCAGAAAGTAAAAAAGGCAACACTGAAACTCCCATCTACCTTGGTCATAGTCACCTTAGACGATTAGAGTTAACCACAATGGGTCCAGAAACACAGAATGAAAAGGTGACAATGCTTCAGTGCTTTTCATTATATCCAGAAAAAATGGTCAGCAAAAGTGAGAGCATAGTGAATAATAACCACATTTAAGGAATGGTGGACAACCTACTGGATTCTGGTCACTCAGGCCTGGCAGTAAGTGCAGATTCTATTTTAGATACAATACTGAACATTTTTTTTTAAAAAGACTTCGCACATTTGGCTTTGACTTTTGAGGGGAAGAAGAAGGCTTCCCAAGTTCATCATACAGTTTTGTTCAACATTTCTGTCCTTGAGGCTCTTTATTTCTGCTGCATGTACTGGTTATAAGTACCACAAAAGGCATGGTTTGACATTCACTAAAAACGTTTTGGGAATTCTTATTTTAATGTCATTGTGTCCAGTATCTTTCACAAAGCATTTGATGATTTTGGGCTTGCATCAGGTTCCTTATATCAATTTTAGACTTTTCTTCACTTTACAAAGGAGGAATTTGCAAAAAATGTACAGAATCGAAACAGGTCACTGTTTTCTCTCTGTGTTTTTAAAGGGACTGACTTCCATGTACAAATCCAATTAATATTTATATTATTCCACATGAATCGCTAAACAGAAAAAAAGGAATAGATTGATAATTTTAGGTAAAGTGTCACACCATAGATGTTTTTTAGATGCTGAGCTTAAACTGTGGAACCACGTAAAGCTACAGTATCAGGATATGTGCTGTTCAACACTGTAGATGCATTCCATAATGTGATTGCTGAAGATGTTGCATTGTTATGCAGTGTGCAGTACATGTAGCAGCACATTTCTAAGCACCACCTGAATGCTGTGTTTATACTGCTGGGAGCAAAGTAGATTTTTTCCCATCAATTTGGTGATGTGAAGTGGGTAACCTGGTTTATGCTTCTCATTCATTTTCTTATTGTGGCTGTAAGAAACTGGAATTCAGTTTCTGTTGATGTGTGGTTTAGTCATGCACATGATACCGAAATTGGCTAATGTTTTAATGTTACAATCAGCTGATTTAATAAGTGTTCTATTAAAAAATGCTGGGTGGCTACATAGACTGCTTTAAAGAAGGGCAAGCAAACCTGGTGTAATTCACAGTCATTTATACTGTAATGGGTAAAATCCCACTGCTCATGGAACTACCTGTAGCTTCTCTGTCTCAATCTTTGTTTTTGTTCAAATTCATCAGTAATTGTTGGTGTACATCACTGGAATAGTTTTTTCTGTGTTTGGTCTGCCCACGTTAATTGAGCACACCACAGTCAGCTTTTATCTCCATGACACTCAGAAACAAAATAATTCATACATTTAGGAATCACATTTATTTTTCATATATGACCAACTATCCTGGGGGGAGGAGGAGGAGTGGTTGGGAGTGGGGGGAGTCTCCTTGGGGTGAGCTGGTGCCAAGGTGTTGTGGTGACAGTGGAATGTCTGAATTGAGTCAACTCTGTGATGTCTCGATGACCTGGTTCCTGAGCTGGATGGGTTGGCAATACACCCAAGATACTGCTGATTGCAGGCCAGCCCACGATGGGCCTTTGAACTCATATAGTCAAGATATCACTCTTATTCGGGGCTGGGAGTGTGCTTCATTGTTCAGTGTACTGACCTGTGAATGAAATATTAAACCAAGGACTCTCAGCCTTTTCAGGTGGACGTTAAAAATCCAATTGCACAATTTGAAAAGAGGATGGGGTTTCTCCTCTTGTCCTGGCAAACGATGTCCCAGATAAAATTGCCTATTCACTTCCCAGCTGATTTTGTGACATTACTATGCACAAAACTGATTGCTGCCTTCACTTACAAAAGTACAGTCACTACATTTTATAGTAAACCCTGTGGAGAGTTTTGAGACGTCCACCTGATATCAAATGCAAGGATTATTTTTATTATATGTGAAACGCTTCCTAGATTGGGTACTCTTAAGCATGGTGTTGGGTTTTGCATGTATCACGGTAAAAAAAACTTTTGCTGAAGTATTAAAGTTAGTAATAATGATGCTCTACATTATTAAACTATTTAAATTCTTCGAGTAGCAGAAAAGAAATTGAGATAAACATAGATTATTGATGACTAAATTGTTTACGTCGCACTATGCAGGTGCTAGATGTAGAGACCATTTGTCAGAAAAATTAGGTGACATTTGCAGGGAGGGTATTTTTGGGGTTAGTGATGTGAAGTGGATAACCTGATTTATACTTCTCATTCATTTTCTCATTGTGCCTGTAAAAACACTGGAATCTAGTGTTTTGTTGATGTGTAGCCTAGTCATGCACATAATACTGAAATTGGCTTTTTTTAATGTTACGATCAACTGATTTAATAATTGGAATGATAGATGGGAAAAGGGAATGATGAAAATTGCAATGGGAAGGTTGATTTGCATGTTAATTCGAGGGTTTTAAATAGGAAAATAGCAATATATAGATTACTGTTAGAGACTTTTAATAGGTTCCAACTTTCTTTTTGTATATGATTTTCTAAAGTATTTGAAGTGTGAAGTATTCCAATATAGAAGGCATCTGCTGTTGCATAATTATAACTGAAATTCAATTTCATTCCACACATTGATAAACAGTAATTAAAATGCGCTTGTAAAAATTGACTGAGCAATTGCCGAAAATCCAGGACTTTTAAAGCTTCCGTATCAAATTTGATAAAATGTGTGATGCAGCCATTTGACTGGTGATGAAATTGGGTTTGGCCAGTTTGATAACATCGGTTTAAATGGCAGTGGCTGCTTGATTTATGACTGATCTGATCTATAGCATACATGACATAACCCTTCACCTTATTTCATCTATTTATCTGTCTGGCAAACAAATAAAGCAAAAGCTTTAAATTCATGTGTTGACCCAATAATAAGAATGTGATTATCATTAGCTATTGTTCTCATTTTACAGAAACCGAAACGGAAAGAATGGCATCCTCCAGATGGATTTATCCTGGGACTATGGACCCTAATCCTCTTAGTCTTTTTCCAAACTTATGGACTGAAACACCTTAAACATATATTTTAAGAGGCTTATTGAGCTTTCAGTGAGAACAATTTTTCACCTTTGAAGATGGATTTAACTGCTGTTAAAATGAGTTTGTGTTGAGTTATTGTATATATAATGATCACTTCTCATGGCATTTTTTTTGGGGGTAGCTAAAAATGGGCGATGGAAATAACTGAAACGGATAGATTCAAGTGCTTCATTTTCTTAAAAAAATTACTTTAAAACAGGTTAATAATACAATAAGTGGTTCAAAACACTTGTCAATTGCCAGATCTGTGGAAATGAAAAGATTGAGTTTAAATTTCGGACGCAGTGATATTATCACATGATTTCTTCCAAGGGGGGGGAGGGGCAATTAAAAATCATGATTTTTCTAGTAAAAATAATTTTGGTTATACAGTCAAATCTGTAATGCAAATATTGTAAGCTGAATACTTCATGAGAGTCTTTGTGGTACAATTTTTATTTCTATTAGTGAGCCTGACCAGAATTCATTTTTGCTGCTTGAATGTAAAATGACCCTTCATTTACGTAAATAGCACTTGTGTCAAATGCACATCTCTGAATTGACTTTTCAGTAATTGAATCTGTGAAATTGTTTTTTTTCCTCCACAGAAAACAATGACATTTGTAAAATGTTTCAATGGCTGATTGCATCTATGAAAGCTAACCATTTGGTGCTGGCATCTTTCGATCTTACTATTTCTGTGATTCCCCCCCCCCTTTTAAATTACTGTACTTTAAATGCAAGTTTAGTTTCCATGTAAGATGATAATTTCTCCATATGTAATTTCATTTTGAAACACATTTTCTTATATGTTTGTTTAAAAAGTTATTTTCCTCCTCATCATCATCCTTCACTCGGGGTTGTGCTGAGTATTGAAGACAACTTGCTTCTGAACCTTTGTAAATGTAATTCTGTAAATAGCCTCTTTGAGGCGTGCAAGAGTGAATATATCTAACAATGTTTCCCTACCTCCCTAGGAAGCGGTTCACCTTAGATCTTCTTGTTCTGGGCTGGCACCAATGATGTGTCTTTACTGTTTTTTGGAATAGATATTTTCCGTGTCTTGGATTGTATCTTGTTTACTTTACAGTTTATCTCCATGAAGTGTTACATGCACTGAATTTGTAAAAGTTTTTTTAAAGAACTGCACGCACATTTCCCCCAAAATGGTCTACTTGCAACGAATAAATGTTTCCTTGTGTATCTGTATCAAAATTGCTTTCTACTGTATGACACCATCAGAGTTTAAATAAAGATGTATGTGTGTGCAAGGATGTAGATGGAATAATGTAGAATGTAGTTATATTATTGGCTGCTCTGTCTTTGTAACCACTTGACTGCTAAAGCCTTGAGAATTGTTTGTGTTTTGATTTTATTTCAGGTATGAAGCTGTAGTTTAGTACAGTCTTAAAGAACATTTGGTAATGCCTTTTACCTTTGCAGTACTATAGTTAACCAGGTCCAATGGTAATCTAAAGAATTGTTGTCACGTTTGCTGAAGTCTTTAATGTACATAAAAAATTTCCCATGCCTCAATGTTATTTGTTAAATAATGCCAATTTATTATATCTTGTCAATGGTAACATGTGGAAAGATGAAATAAATACGAGCCTAATTTATTTAATGAGCAGCAACTTATTCAGCTACTTTAGTTTCAAGAATATCATTCAATACAGCAGTCTTTAAAATAAGTTTTCTTCATCTTACAAAATGACTTGTATGACAAGATGTCATTTATTGAAACACTTCTTTGTCATTTGGTGTATTTATGTTTAATCAGTCCACAATACAATGTTGCAGACTTTGGCTGTTTAACCTCCATATCAATGATTGTACCACAAATGGCCATTACCATGATGTGTAATGATCACCATATGACCAATTTATATTTGGAAGGGCAATGTGAATCACAAGCTAGATATAATTACACATAAAACCATTCTGGTTTATCTGATCAAATTATTTTTTAGACAATAGGACTGTAGTTGCCTATTGCAGAATACAAGCTTCACATGTCAGTTCGAATTCTGGTTGTTTAAGCCTCTTCTTTTTAAGATTTGTCATTTTATTTATTTGCATTTATTTGTAATAATGAGCAACAAATAGTTTCAGCTTTGGCTTGTACCAAATCAAAATCTCACTGACACGGTACACGTCTTTTTATATGACTACATGAATGTTTTAATAGTCATTGCTTCATTTAGATAAACATTTGTATTTAAACCTTTGGGTTTGTAGATTTCTATGGAATCTGGATCACAGATAAATATGCAGAATTCTAGGTAATTGCTGCAGATTTGCACTGACACAATTCATAATGTTATGAACAAAGATTGAGATTTCAACAGATATCATTTAGAAAAGTGAGCAGTTTACCAACCTATTTTACTCAATTATGGCTTAATTTCTTTGAATGAGAAAATTCTGTTACTGCAGAAATTCACGAGATAGATAGATATATATATATATACAGTACCATGAGAGATGAACAAATGAAACTAAAACTGTATCTTAGCTTTGCTTGAAAGAACTTGTACTTTTGCAGTGATGTATCACCAGGATTGGTGGAAATCTTTTAAATTATTTTTTCCCATTCTTATTGGGGGAGATGGGGGTTCAATAACAATTTTCACACCTGGAGGACACAAAACTGACTCAAATCAACAATCATAATGATGATCTTCGCTGAGTGCTCCCCAATGTGCTACATTAGGTGGATGGGCAAAAGCTTGTAGGTCAAATTGAACAGCTTCTTTAAAGTTAGAAGCTTGAAGCTTATATTCCTAAACTAAATTGGTGAGCAAACCTTTTGATATAAACCAGGTAGAATGGTGGTTACTAAATCATAACCATTAGGGGTAAATCTTTAGAATGGCTTAATTTATTGGTAAAGACTATCCGTGGTACTGCCTCAGGGGGAAAAGAAGGATCAGTCATTTTATCCTGCTTTGCATTTGACTTGGGAAAAATAAATTTGATCGTTCAGAAACAATTGGGTAACAGCTTTGCCTCGTCAAACCAGCTCACTTTTTTAAAAACGTTTTTGAAAAGATTTTTAAAAAGAATCTGATCTATGCACATTTGAGGTGAGATGACATTCGGTCAGCAGTTTTGCTTGGTAGAGACAAGAGGAACTAATAGAACGATTGTTTTGATTTTTTTTCACAAATTAATTCTGTTCTAGCAAGATCACTTTTCCCTTGAAGACTCCTTATGAATTTCTGTAGCAAGGCTGAAGAAAGCTAAGGAAAGCACTTGTGTTCATTTTAACTGTCAAGGTGATAACTCTTTTAATCCACGTTTTTAAGGTTTGATAGTGCTCCACGTTTAGTAATCTAAGCTTACCGTTCAGGTATCGTTGTGAAATACAGCTCATCATAATCACATTTGAGTTTCACAAATATGATTTCAAGGCAAACATTTCTGTATTACCTTTAGAAAGATGTGTGCATTTACTCACTCTAATCCAGGTAATATGTTGTGACAAATAGTCATCTCTATTTTGTTTTATTTTGGGCACCAATAAAAGCCAGAGAACTAAAATCCAATTCATTCACTATGAGCATTTTGCATGACACATGATAATGTGATTTCTGCTTGCATTGGTACTGTGTTAGTTGAGGTGATTAACAGGAAACACTAAGCAAAGAGAAATGTTATTAACTGCTGTCAGAACTCCAGTCAAATAAGAGACACATTAATACTGCTGCACTTCTTCTAGATTTATTGTTTTTCTTGTGTGCTGTACAGATAGCTAAGACACTTGGGCTGCTTACTGTAGATAAGCTGTGATTAAGTAGTATGGTGGGGCTTGGTGGCTCCACAATGAACGTTTTTTTCAAGCAACCTTGCTGATTTTATTAGTCTCTTGCAGTCTTGTTTACAATATGAGGCCTAATGTTTGAAAACGATAGCCAATGCTATTCTTAAACAATATGTTGTAGTGACTGGCTGCTTACAGATGAAAAAGCCAATTTAGATTCTTGCAGATACAGTAAAGGCAAGTCTTCTGTTGATTCCACATCAAGCATATCTGAGAAAATGAGAATGAGGAAAAAGGCTGTCTAGTCTATTGTGATGAAAGTCCATTTTCTGGGCCTCTCTTTTAAGTTAAATAATGTGTTTCTGTTGTGCCTTAAAAGAATGCAGTAATCTTTCCATCCTCATGAGGAACTCATCTGTTTCCTTCTGCATTCTTCTAAATACTTCTAAGTATTTTTAGAATAATGAGATGTGTCCTATCGTGTACAGAGCAGTATTGAATAAATCGGTGTTCATGCCTAAAGCTGATGCCTGAAAACGAAGAACAAAGTACAGTATCTTCCAGTTTGATTAACTTAAAACCAAACATTCAAAATAAATGCAGGATGAGTTTCCTGAGAGCCCATATCACAAAGTTTAAGTAAGGTGGAATATGTGGAAAGGAATCCAATTGGAGCATTGCACCAACATGATAAGGAGACAACAATGGTAACGGTTTATTCTGAATATCAAAATATGCAACTCATTTTTTACAGGCATGAAAGAAACCAGGCTTTTCACCAAAGTGACCTACATCTGGAGAATGCCCCACCCCAAACAGCATGTCCCATTCATAATATATTGCATGGATTCCAGAAAATAAATTCTGGTCTCTGGTCTAACACATCAGATATGAAAGCTCAAAAGATATCTAGAACTTCAGTAGAACCCATTTCTCCTATAATAAACATTATACATGCAGAGGTCTTGGACTGGTCCCTGGGAAATTGAGTCTTAGTTGCACAGGTTGTACCAATTTTCATTTATGACTTCTCTTCATTCCGTGCTCAAATCAATTTACTTTCCCATTTGCCACTTTACCCTCTATGCCACAGGTCTTGCTTTTTAGCTCAGTCTTTTGTGAGGGGCTTTGTCAAATGTCTGGTGGAAGACGAGATATGTAATGCTAACCACATTTTCAGCATTCATTCACTCATCTATACCTGCAAAACATTCTAGGCAATTTGTCCTCCTTGACCTCTTCTGATGAACCCATGCTGCATCTTGTTTTTTTTTACATTTGATCCCAATAGATGATTCTGATTTGCTTTTCCAATACACTCAGGCATCCTATCCACCACAAATGTCAAGCTAACCGGCTTTCAATCCCTAGGTTTGTATTTCTGCTGTTTCTTGAAGATTGAAATTGTCTCAGGTATTTTCCAGTCTTTTGTTATCCTGTTCAAGAAGTGTGGGAAGTTTCAATTGGAGCATCCCCTCAGTTCACCTCAGAATTCCCCAAAAAACCTTAACAGCATTTTGCAGTGTTACACTACACATCTACAGCTGCTCAGGTTTCTTAATGACTATTTCTTTGGTGACTTACATTTCCATAAAATTCTTTGAATCGCGAACAGTTACTCAAGCAGATATTATTTCAGTTTTGGTGATTAACTGAAATTAATTTATGCTGCTTTTAAACTGCTGTACGTCTTACAAGCCCCAGGTTGGAATTTTGAACTTCCTAAGTCCAATGCAGTGCTGGGTACCTCTATTGTCAGTGGTGCCATCCTTCAGATGAGAATTAAATCAAGGTCCCATTTGCCTGTTTAGGAGGACTTTAAAGATCCATGCCAGAACTCAAAAAGAGAAGGGAGTTTCTCCCGTTCTCCTGGCCAGGAATCCCCCAGATAGTGCGACATTGCTGTGTGCAAATTGACTGCCACATTCCCCTATGCTCATTACACTTTTCAGTATATCCTGTGAAATCCTTTGAGACATTTAAACAACATAAGGCGCTCTGATAATGCAAGGATTATTATCAATACTTAATAACAAGAAAGGTTCTAGAGGAATGCAGACACAAAACACTGAATTAATTGTGTCAATTCCTATCACGTGAAAGGGATAATGTTGAGCAAATAAATATTGGCATGGTAGCAACGCATACACATCTGAAATATTCAAATACAGAAGATAATATGGAGTTAATTTTAATTAAAACTTAGAAATTGTAAGTGAATTAAAAACAAGATCTCTGTTTGTAAATGTGGACTGTAGTGTGGGGTCATGTAGCTCAGTGGTTGGAGCACTCGTCTCGCAAGCGAGAGACCTGGGTTTGATTCCCAGCAGGGTGAAACCTTGAACAAGTTTCCTTACTCCACATGCCTGATAATAATCGCTCAAGAAAAGAAAACAATAATAAATTGTCATTTCAATCCACGACTGTTTGTGGGACACTGCTGTGTGCAATTGGCTGCTGCGATTCGCCCACAAATTCACTTTACAGTATATTCTGTGAAGCACTTTGAGATGTCTATAAGATGTGAAAAGCGGTATATCAAATGCAAGGTTTATGATATTATTTTAAATAGTACTGAAATTGAAGGCAGAGCGAATAAATCAACAGATTCAGAAGGATTTAGGTGAAAGTTCAATTCAATCAAGACAAATGTAAAATTAAGATGGAAGTTAGCAAGCAAAAGATTAAATGTTGAAATGGAATAGTCATCCGGTTTACGGATCAGGAAAGGGATTTGAGGATTATTGTGGAAACATGGTTGAAACAACCAGCCCAGTAATTTGCTACAATGAATATAGCAAACAAGATATTGGGCTGCAATATCAGAGGGGAATACAAATCAAGAGAGCTAAAATTGTTACTGGCTAGGGCAGGGTTCATCCAACTGGTGGCCTGAGTGCCGCATATCTGTCTGGGAGTGATTTCCTCTGGCCCTCAAACTCTTATGGACACTGTGAGTCCGGAGACCAGGCTTCGTTTGACCCAACAGGAAAAACAGTGGAGCAAGCCAGTGGTTAGCAGCAAAAACCATCAATCACTTTCAACCAGTAACAAGAGAGAGATACAGAAACACAGACACATAGAGTGAGAGATAAAGAGAGGGAGATACAGAGTCACACAGCTACAGAGACACAGTCAGAGTGAAAGAGACGCACAGATACAGAGGCAGATACTTTGTCGTTGGCTATTGTTTCAAAATTTGTATGAGTTTTTAAATTGTCTATTTAAAGTTTGCATTGCAATTAAAATACAGTAAAATTAAGTAAGAGTTATACAATTTAAAACATAAGATTTCAATATGGTTCTTACAGGATATGTTTCTGTAAGGGAAACACAAAATACGGTCAGTACACTTTACAATAAATCCTGTAAAGTGCTTTGATACACTTTTAAAGAATCCATTAGTCTCAAAACAACATTTGTTTCTCACAATTTTTGACAAAGCACTTTTATTCTTCCTTTATTAACGATTCACAGTACGTGTTGCAAAGTGTAATCTGCATATTTGAGCACTACATTTAACAATCTTCCACAACTCTCATCTGTTCGTGGTATTTGGTTAATGTGTTCCTAATAGTTCAAGGTGACACATTCAAAATTTCAACAAACTGACCGCATAATAAAATTAATATTATTTGTGAGTGATCGCTGACGGAAAGTCACAACATTTAGAAATAGAAAGAATAAAGAGTCGTCAAGGCTGCAGAATTTAAACATTTCGAATAGCAAGTTGAATGCAGTTTAAAATGTATATCTAAAATCTCCTGATTCCTTAAGCTTACGGCTAATGTTCCTTTAGTTTAGGACAGCTTTGCTGGTGCAAGGATTCCTACCCTGTTTGCTGGAATGTACGTATGAAACTTGTTGAAGAATGGTACCCTTTGCTGAAGCAGTCACTTTGTAATTCGAACATAGGCCACTGATAAAAGACCAGTCCCACGAGGCCAGCAGCTGTTAATACATTTTTCATCATAATTTTGCCTCGTACTCAGTGTGATTGACAGAAATTGACTCTGGTCTCCAATCTGGCTGATAGAAATGAATATTGTACCTTTGAGCCCACCCAGCAAATACCCTCTTCTCGGTAATGAAGCGATGATGGCTTCCCTTCTGACCGCGTTCATGTGAAATATACATGGTACATTCGTCAGGTCCTAGAGGTTCATAGTAATGGTACGGTACTGATTGGTGATGAGGATTCCTAAACAAAAATACAATCGTACAGATCAGGTTCATTTAGAGTATCTTCATGAAAGGTTCTGCGAATGTGAAATGATGCAGAACATTCTAATTATTTATTTATTGAGCAAACCATTAGTAGAAACATATAAAAAAGGACAAGGAAAGCCCATTAGGCTAAACAAGCCTGTTGTGCTTGTTTATTCTCAAACAGCTTCCTGCCTTGTCATTATATCCACAATCCATTCTCTTTCCAGAAGCCTATGCAGTTGTGGCATCATCTTGCAAGAGTACAGTTCCATCTTAGGAACCTGGAACTAAAACTATGAAATGTTGCTGGAAAAGCCTTGGAAAATACATATTGGAAACTAAATTACATTGTGGAATTTAAATTATACTACCTAATTAAGACAAGCCATTTTAGTACAGTTCAATGTACTTGTGCCATTTTGCTAGCACAGGTCACTTTGTCCTGAAATCTACATTATCCACATTGATACATTGTGAAGTATGACCTAGTTTCATAAATTCAATATGGGATTTTATCCCAGCAAGATTATAACTTGTCTTGAAACTCTACTGAAAACTATTTCATTTATATTCAGTCTCATTTATCCCCACTGCAATGTTATCCTGTGTGAGGTTCTCAAAGGAGCAGGCTGCAGGTATTGGCATCAGGTATAATTTTTCTTCTCTCACCCAAAAGACACAAGGAACATTCCATAGGACTTTTGGATGGTACAGAAAAATATTTTTTTTTACTTTTGTAATTCACAATTTTTTCTTTACAATTCTATTTTAAGTCAGCCCAACACATATATATTTATTGAAGTGTTGACCTGATAATTTTGACTGATTTACAAAAAGCTTTGATGTTCTCCAGTTTCGGGTGAACCAGGATAATATTTGCACCTATATTTTGCACACTCCGCATGCTCCCCAATATCCATTTGATGTCTCTTGTTCCTTCCTAGCTTTTCTCGGTTTCATATGGATAATGTAGTTATCAGTGGTTTACAAGTGTTATTTTGACTTTGGAATGTTCTCATAATATATTGTATTATATATTATATATTATAATATAATATATTATGTATTATATATAATATATTTGTACTGCCAAATTGGTACAACTTTTACTGGTGCAATCTGCTTTCAGTGTCTTTTCAATGTGGGCACAATCCCACAACAAAGATTCGTAGAAGATTAAAATGAAACAAAAACTAGATTTGTGCTCTTTGGATAAATGCCATGCAAAAATATGTCCTTTTATGCTCCTTTTTATAAACCATAAATAATGTAAATATGATCCTAACAATCTAAATTATTGCAATTGATATTATTGATGCGGGGGGGGGGAAATGGCTGTCTCATGTGAAAGTCTGAATCATCATGCAGTGTGCAACACCTTAGTATACTGTCATTCGTATGCTAAGAACATAAGAACATCAGAATTAGGCGCAGGAGTAGACCATTCGGCCCCTCGAGCCTGCCCCTCTCCCCATATCCCCTGATCCCTCTATTTTTAAAAAATCTATCAGTCTCAGCCTTGAAAATGTTCAAGGATTGAGCATCTACAGCCTTCTGGGTTAGTGAATTCCATAAATTCACTACCCTCTGAGTGAAGAAATGTTTCCTCAACTCTGTTCTGAAAGGCTGACCCTTAATTTTAAGACTGTGACCCCTGGTTATAGATTCTCCTACCAAGGGAAACAGTCCCTCAGTGTCTACTTTATCCAGTCCCTCAGTGTCTACTTTATCTAATGAAGCATGTTGAGATGCTTTAAAATATTTTGATTTTGTATTGCAACTTATTTCACTTTGAAAATATCAGAGTAACACTTCCTTAGTTATTTGTTGCCAGCAAATTACAATTATTTTTAGAATACAGGATTCAGTGCAAGGAGTTCATAATATTAGGTCTGTGTGTCAAACCTTTAAGATTGATTGAATGTTACTTGAATGTAATCAAGGAAGATTGGTGCAGCAAACAAGTGCGAAACACAACTGGATCTGGTTAGCTTGACTGAACAGTCACTGAACACTGAATATGGTAGGCATGAGCTAAAGTGTCATGACATTTTAATAGCTAGAGTATGTCAAACTAGAATGCTCTGTCACTCTTGCTGGTGTTTTATTAACGTTACCAAAAAAAACTTCACCAGTTAATTCTGTGTGAAGACAAACATTTATTTTTTCGATGGAACAGGAAATTTGAGTTTCAATCCTGTAAACTATATTCAGCAATTTGAATCGGATCATTGCAATGAGTGATGGAACTATTCTGCGATATCTGTGGTGAATCATATTGGCCAATTTTGGAGACACACAATGAAATCAAATGTTCAACCCTACAAAGAAGGCAAAGATGAACGGACACAGCAGTAGTGCCCTCATGGTGTGCAGCTTTCAAAAGATATTGTTGATATTGCATTCCTTCAGGATAGAAAGGTAAAGCTTGCGAATGCTGTATCCTTACCTGCAGAAGGTGGGTGGAACCATTCCATAAATATTGATTCTGTCACAAAATTCAAGGGCGATGATCATTGTAAACCAGCCTGTACTCAGCCACGAGTTGGAAGTTTTCCTGGAAATTAAACATTTTCTACTTTTAGATTACTGTAGTTTAGAGCTCAGTTATTTTAAAAACTGTGTTTGGATACTAATTTGCAACTTAATTATGCAACCTTGTTTTTTCCCCATGTGAAAGTGTCAAAATGTTTATAGGAGAAAAGAACATGACAGAAAAAAGCTTTCTAAAATGTTTTCATAATGAATACAAATAAGGTGTATGAAGCTGCCTGCTGATAACAGCAAAACTGTTTAAAAAGGCTGGAAAAAAGCTGAAAATACTTGTAAGGTGTAATTTCATATTTGTTGTGATACAAACAAGAATATAATTTTTCCGACACGTACAAACTCTCCTGTGGAAACTGCAGTGAACCCCCACTATTCAGAAATGACTAACTGCCTTCACTGTATACTGATATAACTGTTATAAACATGATCCGAGCATAGTTTGCTGGTGCCACTGATGTAATTAGTACCTTAGTACAATTTATTTAAATCACAAAGCTTGGCAATTAAAACACTATATTAAAAACATTCAGTGAGTTCATTGTCGTTCTCACGTGAGAGCAAATTAATTGCCATTCTACTTCCAACTTCACTCACTGCATTTCTTCAATAACTGTTGATAGTTTAGCTCAGTTGGTAATATGGTCAACTCTCGGACAGAGGTTTGTGTTCAAGCCCCATGTCAGAACTTGAGCTCATAGTTCAGGCTGACACTCCAGCGCAGAATTCGAGGAGCACTGCATCATAGCAGATTGTCTTTCTGATGGGACACTGAGCCCAATGTCCTGCCTGCTTGCCTTTCCTAGTGAATGCTAAAGACCTCATATCATTCGGAAAGGGAAGGGAGTTTCTTCAGCTGACTATTCTGGTATGTCATCATCTGTGTCTTAGATTGCTATGAACCCACTTGACTCAGGAACTGGACGACAGAGACAGCCACAAAAGATTGACTCGATTCTACCTTTCTGTTGTTCTGCGAGTAACCTTGGGGCCAGCTTTTTTAAAATTTATGCTTGTTACCCCCAATGTTTCCAGATGCTGACTGTCCAATGCGCTGTTGGTGGGAAGCTGCATTGTCAGAGGTGTCGTCCTTCAGATGAGATGTTAAACCATGCTACCATCTGGCTGTTCAGGTGGTTAAAGAATCTTTAAAACTATTCAAAAAGAGAAGGGAGTTTCCAATCCTCCAATAAATTGGGCCTTCACCCATTGGCTGGTTGTGCAACACTGATGTGTCCAAATTAGTTGTCACGTTCGCCTACAAATACACAGTCACTAAAGTGAACAGTAATTACTGCAGGGCATTTTGAGATGTTTCGACATTCTAGGTACAAAATCAAATGCGAGTATTATTTATTGATGCATTCAAAAATATGCAATTTACAATGATTTCCAGTGGGATTCCTTAATAAGAGGTGGAGATGTTTTCTGCTAAATAGGTATGTCACAACGACTCTTAGGAATTTGTACTGAGCTGAGTTTCAGAGGGACTGTGTACACTGAGCACATTTCCTGAGAGTCAGTGTACACCGAGTGGAGTTCCTGTGAGATGGCGGGTACTGAACCTGTACCACTTTCAGTTTCCTTGTTAAAAATGCTATTGGAAATCACCGCATATCAAATCCCCCTTGTTATAATTGTTTTGGATTCATCCTAATAAACTAAGACTTAAAAACCCAGGTATACTTACAATTCATATCTTTAACAAAGTATCGTAATAGAAAGCAGAATTTAGGAGGAAATTATAAACACATCAACATTGCATTTAACTAATGTTTTGAAACTGTTCAACTTGCTTATTTTTACATTCCATCAATTGATCTGCACTTCATTCTGCTCAGCACTCGATCAGGAACATGACGTGAAGAATTGTCAGAGACAACTTTATGATTTGATATTGTTATTGGAGTTTTCAGGAGCGGTTTGGGTTTGCAGCTAACCAATGCCCTACTGCTACATAACTGTTACAACAGCATTTCCACCATTTCTCAGGGTTCGACAGTGAATGAGAATTCAACTGAAGATCTGGAACAGCCTTTAGATCACTTCTACCTAATTAGCTCAACATTTTACTGAGATAGATGTAAAGCTATTCATCAATACTTCCAGTTGAGATAATGACTAGCAACATGTGTGCACATCCTGATGTCCGGCAAAGCTTTGCTAAAATCATTAAGTGGTTGGAGTTGGGCGACATAATGGAATGAATTGCAGTCTCAAAGTTTAAATAATGGAGAAGGCAGATGCAGAGCAGCTGGTCATTAAGTGCAGCAAAGTACAGCAAGATGGAGTTCCATTTATTCTTGGCCAAAACTCAATAAATGTGAATATTTAAAACAAATTAACAATATTCTTCAGTGTGAATGCCAGATGGCAGCAGGTTTCTATTTTATTGCCACCTAACACTGGTCTCCTGAAAGTCAATTAGCAACCACTATTCTTCATGCATTAACATTTAGAATTGTAGCCAGAGGAAATAATCAGTTCTTTTAGAAGATGAAAAACTTAAGGGTGAGCGAAAAATATATTTGGCCTATTCGATCCATGTTCCTGTACTTCAAAAGTCTGCAGGTAGTTAGTTAGTTATAGGCACTTCTTCAGAGATAACTGTAACAATTCTGTTAAATTATTTAATGCCTAATTTAGTTCTGATTATTATAAAATCCAAATTTAGATCCAAGTTTACACTCTTGATATTTTGAGTCAAAAACTTTTATCAAGAGATGCTCTTCAATGCATCCTGCTGCTTCCCACAGAAAACAAAAGCTGACTTCTGGGTCAACAGGTCGGGCCGATATCACTTTCTGGCCAGTCGTCTTTCTGTGTGCAATTTGGATTTATTGATAAGTAAATGTCGGGCTCCACACCCCAATTTCTCTATTAAGCAAATCGGCTTTAAAAAAGTGCATTATAATAGGGATCAATGGTATTAAAACTGTTCTGTTCCAGGTCCTAAATGTTTTAAATCTCTTTAGATTAACACTGTGGACAGTTCCGGTATGTTTTCAAACGTCTGTTGCTAAAGAGTTGCACCACTCTTAACTGAGCAGTTAAATGTCTAGAGTCAAAGACTGAAGTCGTTATTTCACAGTTTTGGCCATTTCTGCAGCTCAAAGATCAATAGATGAGCTCTAAGAGCCAAACAAATGCAGCTGTTATTTATTGCAGCCTTTGGCTACTGTCAGTTAACTCAAACTTTAATTATACTAATAAGCTCAGAAGACACATCTTCAACATGATTACCAAAATTCAAAGGCTAATACAAAGTCTCAGCTCAATGTACAACACTTTATTCAGTCAGCTAGCAACTAACTACAGTACTATATTTCCTATCAAATTAGTTGATCTATACTGAAACACCAGCTCAAGTGCAGGTATAGAATAAAACATGCATTCCCTTTAGGTCTATGGCTGTAAAATTTTAAAGCTTTACCGGAAAAAAAACCTTTGAAAACAAATAAGTTGTAACGCCTATGTCCAAATATGGCAATCATGATGTGGTGCTACTTAATGTATCAGTTTATAGACTGAGCGAGTGTGCTGATATTGTAAAAGACAGAACAAAGTGGAAAGAAATTTCAATAAATATAGAATTATCGATATACTTTTACCCTCATTCATTTAACTGGCACTATTAAAATTGTGTAGTGTACTTTGACTTCAAAAAACTATAAGCTCTCTTCCCCATTAACCCGAATTTAGAAGCTATACCAGTCAGCGGTATTATAATAGCTTTGATGCAGGTCATTGAAAAGTTGCATTTTAATAAGTAAGTTTGTAAAATTTTAATTTATTAATATTTAGGTTTAAGTAAATTCATTATTTTGTTATGTAATTTGATCACACGCTCATATTTACCAGACTGACATTGCATTCCTTCTTTACAAGTAAGACGACTAGTAACTGAGTGGCGAGTTTGTTTCCCGAAGTATGCAAAAGTGCAGCTGTCTCGACAAACACTCTGGTATCAGATATATGAATAGATATATTCATGTTAGATATTAAAGTCCTTCCAGTTTTGATTTTTTAATATATATCAATTTACTGGAACATCACAAACACTTTTTTGATATCGTTAAATTACCACAGATAATAATAATAATCCTTGCATTTGATATAGCACTTTTCACATCTTCTAGACATCTCAAAGATGCACAACAAAAATGTTTTCTTTTTATAGATTAGACAGGACACAAAATTGTTACTTTACTCCTGCATCATTTTGAAGTGGTTCATAAATGTGAAATTCAGGGCTTAACTGTAAATGACAGATGTTATCGTGCTGTAGTGCAGAATCATTATTTTAGATCTTATTGCTAGTTGCCTTTTGAAAGCTAATACTTTTTTCCCCCACTACCTGACCTTCAATAATAGGTCATTCATTATCTTGGTACATCAAATCCTATTGAGTTTTAATGATCCTCTCTAAAGTTCCCGTCTGGCCCTGCTGGAAATACAGTCCTTTACTGTCGTACCACAGACAAGTCTACAGGATAATATTTCCTCCATACCTGTCTTTTCCAGTCTCTCTTTTGAAAAGTTCATCAAAATACAGCATCTTTTGCCGTGTAATTGTGTAAATCTTTAGCTTCGGTAGTATTTGATGTATCAGCTGCAAGTGGTTGTAAACTAAACCTTTTCCGTCTCTCTTCATGTAGTTGCTGGGACCCCAGAAGACAAACACTGGATCCTGGGTCACATTTAACAGCTCGTTGCGCTTTTGCAAAATCCGCTGGATACTGGAGTGAGCAATAACTCGAAGGCTTGTTTTTTGACCCACGTCTTTTCGATAACCGCGTGTTGGTGCATCGTTCATGCGAATGACACAATCTGTTTCGTCAATCTCAGTGCCTCGGTTGCTCCCAGTAAGATGTCCAGAGCTAGTAACCAGTGCACAGTTTTTACAATGTATTTTTAGAGGCTGAAAGACAAACAAAAATCATCTTTACCTTTCTGACAGGTGATAGTAATTTATTTGCATTCAATATTGATTTGTTAAAGGAGAACTGAAAGCAGATCTACATTTTCTCAATTGGTTGCACATTATCAGGATGCCCAATTTGGAAAGGTATGTATGTGTATAAACATGTATATACACATACTCACGTCCACTTGAGCTAGGTAGAACTAACACAGCATACTCTGCACAATACAATTCTATTCCCTCCTCATCCAGATTCACCCCCAATTCAAATAATTAGTGACTCAGCTCATTGTTGTGCGTAGGCAAAATTAGCGGCTGCATTTCCTACATAATATTAATTTTAGTTTGTAAAATACTCCAAGGCGTTTTTTTACATGAAAGGAGCAATCTAAATGTAGTTTTTCTTTACAATAATTGTCCTAAATTTATAAATAGCTTAAGTCAGTTAGACCTCAGATAACCATTGGGACCATTGTAAATGTACCTAACTTGGTGTGAATCCTCTTCAATGGCATTCAGTGCAACTAGCTTGTTGGCAATGGGCAAAGCAGCAATGGGAACAGGAGGAGATAAATTATTCTATTTGAAAAATTGATGGAGTCATTTGAAGGACAAATTATTCTCAGTGAAAATATGTTTTCCTTTCTCTGAGGTGGATGAGAAAGAAATGAAAATAAGTGTGCAGGAGATAAAGGCAGGGGAACACTGCCAATTCCAGAAAATCATATCTAATTTATTTTCAAAAAGGCATCAGGGCTATGGTGATCCACAGGCAGTGAGATGAATGAGGAGGGATGACTGGGGGGGGCATAACTAAGTCCTTGGATACAAGTCTAACTCGCACCACAAAGCAGCATGTTTCTTAAAATTAAGACCTCAGAGATACTGTGCTAGGAGCTGGGAGCACATGCATTAAAATACAATAAGTGAATTCAGAGTACACATGCAATTGACTGGAAAGAGAGTTTGTCAATCCTTGGCACATAGGTCAAATGGCAGCTACACACAGTTTGCTTAACTCTGTGAAGTGCCACGAGAGATGTAAGCAGAGATTAGATGTTGAAATCAGAGTGCACTGAAGTTCAACTTACAACATGGAGAACATTGCCATAGCCAGGTCCCTGTTCTATTAAAGCAGGCATTTTTCTTACATGTCTTTTGTAATAGTTACGTACACTAATTGCAGCTTTTAATATTTATTATTTCCCCTTGTGGTTGGATGTATACAAACTGCCAATAAAACAAACCAAGATAAGTGGCAGATTGATTGTCCTTCCTTTTCTAAATTTTCATTTTGGGCAATTTTTTGTTTGCTCCTGGTGACTGATTTTAGCATGGGAGAGTGAAACACATTCCCACATTTCTTAATTATAATAAATAAATCTTTAATTTGATATAGTGCCTTTCGTGTCAAGAGGATGTCTCAAAGAGCTTCCCAGAATTTTCTTCAAAGTATATTGAAGCCAATTTGCACACAGCAATGTCCCGCAACAGCCATGAAGTTGAATGAGCATTATATCTGCGCTATTGTTGGCCAAGACACTGGGAGAAACTCCTTTCTCAACATCATCATCAAATGGTTTAAAATCGAATACATGACCAGACAAAAAGCACTCGTCAAGATTGTCTTAACCTAAAATGTAGAACGGAAACCCTCATAACATCACAGGCTTCTGAATGAGATTAACAAATTGTGCAATTTTGTATTAATGTGCTCATGTTCACTACTTATTTGGTACAATGTGCATCCACGAATTCCTATTGAAAACTGGAACTTTCTAACCAACAACAACTCGGATTTATATAGCGCCATCCACGCCGGATGGTGTCTCAGAGCACTTTACAGTAACAGATCCTGGGACCGAGCCAGGGGGAGGGGGAGGAAGGTGACCAAAGGCACAGTCGAAAAGAAAGGTCTTCAGCAGAGACCTGAAAATAGGAAGAGAGGGAATGAGACAAAGGGAGTGAGGATGACAGTTCCAGAGCCTCGGGGCATAATGGCTGAAGGCACAGCTGCCGAGGGTGGAGCGAAGGACTCGCGGGACAAGGAGAAGGCCAGACCCGGAGGAACGAAGGCAACGGGCACTGTTTTGAGGAGAGAGGAGGTCAGAGAGTTAGTGGGGTGCAGAGGAGTGGAGGGATTTGAAGACAAGAGTGAAGATCTTGAAGTTGATCCTCTCTGGGACAGGCAACCAGTGCAGCCTGGAAAGGACTGGGGTAATCGGGGAACGGAATTTGGTGCGGGTAAGAATGTGAGCGGCAGAGTTTTGAATAATCTGGAGTTTATGGATGGTAGTGGAGGGGAGGCCGGCGAGGAGGGGTTTAGAATAGTCCAGCCGAGAGGGGACAAAGGCATAGACCAAGGTTTCAGCAGTCATAAACGTTATTATGAGTAAAAGGATTTACTGTTATCAATCAATTCTTGAAACAGAGAACCTTAAAATGGATATCTACCATAACAAATTACACTTTCTCTGAAATGTTGTTTATTTAAATTAATTCTGGCCTAATAATTCCAAGCATTGTTATAATAAACTCAGAAAAAATGATCTCCGTTTATTTTTAAATGTGTGACCAAACACTTCCTACCACACTTACCAGTTAATGTCCTGTCTATTTTGCTTGAATGCTTTACTGTATTGTCTATAACAAAGTTATAAGCTATCTGAGAAAGTGATCAATGGAAGGGACGGCAGAATGCATATCTTATAAGAAGCAAGATGTTTGATACAATTTACATGCAAACATTATTACTTGTCACATAGGTTATGATGAGCTAAAAAGTATTCATAATTTCCTAATGGAAATTCTTAATATAATATTGACTATCACTTCGCTCACAGCGATTGCAGCCTACATTGATAAATTGTAGCTGTCAGGCAGAAAACACTGAAACAATTCTGCCAAGATTTTACATGAAGCAAGAATGAGCAGGCAACGCAAGTGAATTACACTTCACACGTTAAATGTGGTTAACAGTTTTGACAACATTTATTATGATGATTGCATGGAGCAATATCATGCCACTCATTACAATTAATTTGGTTAATTATGACTATAGTATGGCTGCAGCTCAAATTTGAATTTATTTACCAGGAACGAAGTGTGAAACCTTGTGAGGGGTTTTATAAATCATTGTACCCTCATTTATTTGTCACCATGGCTGTTTGTTGGACATTGCTGTGTGCAATTGGCTGCCACGTTTCACTCACAAAATACACAGTCAATCCACTTTACAGGATATCCTATGAAGCTCTTTGAGATGCCTGGACAGCATGAAAGGCGATAAATCAAATGAAAATATTATTATTATTATTAAGGTGTGAAACTAAATGGTTTTGTGAACAAAAGCAATGACTTTAGCTTAAGAGTCTATCAACCGCTGTTCTAGATGGGTTAATCGGTACACTGGATCTGGTAAACTACAGTTGGCCCCGGTTGTACCGAAGGCATATATCAACTAAGATTCCTTCTACGATTGATCACTCCAATTCTGCTGGAAAAGCACAATGAAGGGAAAGGAATCATCAGGTTTGATTGTAATGTATCTTCTGTTGAACACCCTCCCTATTTAGGCTCACATTTGAGCAATGGCAACTTTTGGAAGGTTGCAGGTGATTTTGGAACTGTATTCGGAAACCAGAATATATTAAAGGTGCCTAATTAGCTTCAGAAGTAATTTCGTCACATATCCTAGTTAAAATAATGTCCTTTTAGATTTGACGAAATGCATAGGATTGATATCCTAGTTGAAATAATATCCTTTTAGATTTGAATTCATGGATTTCTAGGCCAATGGATTCTACAGAACAAATTACCAAGAGGCTTAGTAGCAGACTTAATGAAAATCTATGACATTTTCAAAAATTCTTTACGTTGTGGTAGAAGAAGTTAGTTGATCAATCAAATTAGATGCTATGATTTAAAAATAAATATTTTAAATAAACCTAAGACCCAGTAAGGATTTTATTGAATACCATGACAGGATAAAAATAAACCAAAGTTATCAACCAGATTAATGGTTTAGGAAGAGAAAATATTCATGGGGAGAAAATGTATCCGAGGCAAGAAGAAACATGCATCATGTTGAAAAATGTCTATAATATAAGGCAAAGAATATGATGAGGACGATGTTTATGGACTAGGTTACTACAACTGAACAAATGCTGTCATGAAGTAAAGGTCATTTAAACTATTTGCAATATAAAGACAATACAAATGCAATAAAACCAAGCTGTAATTTCCTTTGATATTTGACATCTGCGCATCAATTTCAATATACTCCTTTGTTTTTATTAGAGCCTTGTTTTCTTTGATATTCTTACCCCCACCCCTATTAGTAGTGCTTTTATGGGCATTAGTTTATTAATGATAATAGTCTTTGCATGTGATAAAAGCACCTTATCATGTCAAAATATCTCAAAGTGTTTGAACCCACAGCCTTTTGGTTCAGAGGCAAGAATTCTACAAATCTACCAATTGCTTAGTGGAATGTACTTTTGTAACTTGGTGTAACAGAGAAATTTCTTCAGTGGTTAGTGGTTGAACAGAACAGACTCCTGTTACAATTGTGACATCACCAGATGCCAGACTTGTTTTCTAATGCTATATTTGCAGTCTTATAAGACTTTTATTAAAACGTTTCATACGGATTCTCTCATCAATCCACGTGTCTAACAGTCCACGTGTTGTTCATTGCCTGTGGAACATAATAAGGGTCACTGTTGCAGTGTCTAGATTTAAGTTTACCAACATTTATGTAGTCAGAGTAGCTATGAAATATTGCAATATTTCTCGGCTACTAAATCATTCCAGTAACATGTTGGTTACTTTTCTAAGGCTATTAGTTCAAAGGAGAACATTTATGCAAAGACAGCTTTGTGCCCTCACCATGCCTTGTGTCTAAAGATAAAGAGTCAGATAGCACCGACAGCAGCAACAACATTCACCCCTGTGGCCTTATGGCTTAGCAGAGATAAAGAAATCCTGCACCAAAATAGACTGTGTTTTGCAGTTGTGACTCACAGAGCAAGGATAACGTTTTAGCGCCACAACTTGACATAATGAAAAACAACTCTAAAATAGATTTTACACCTGGATTTCAGCCAGTGTATTGAACCAAAGCGACAACTGACGAACTTTCCCAACCCTTTCTTCATAATTAGTATAGTTTCAATGTGATTTATTTAATAAATATTTTAACCTTGGTTTCAATTAATCCTTTAATTCCATCACATCTAGTTTATATTTAACCAGCTATGTCTTTCTTGTTTTCCTTAAATCCTCCTCATGGTATATCTCTACCTTCTTCTGATTTTCTTTTAAAGATTGCTTCTGTCATTAATATCACAAATTTGGCTGCAATATTGTTCTGATAATGAAAGGGCTTTATTGAATTATTACTCACACTAAGAAATACCAAAATATAAAGCATCACCACAAAGAAATATGGAATTGTTATCATTCAGAATTATTTGTGAGCATGTGAACAAATAGTAAATGTGCCAGAGTATGATATGACCTTGTTTTTTTCCAACATTAACATCTTAAATCTATCAAAATGATGGCTATAAATGTGCAGAGTTGGGAAAAAGAGATATTCAGAGCTCCCTGGAAAGCTTTAATCAAAATCATTTATGGTACCTTAATTCAACTGAAGTTTGTTTACTTGTAAAAAGAAACAAGAGTTAAGTTTGTATAAACTTGAGGAATCAAAACATTATTGATGATGTTATTGAAACACGTTCGGGGAATGTAGTTTGATACTTTGATATGGTTAAACCATGGCTAAACCACCCCTCCCCCATTCTTGGGCCCCGACAACTGACTGTTCAGCGCTTTGGGACATCCTCCCGGTGTGAAAGGCACTTTATAAATGTAATTTCGTTGTTGTTGTTGTTAAAATGGAAAGGAGGATTCAATAAGTTACAAGGTCAGAGGTTTTCATACAAGTCTACCAGACACTTTCACATGAGAACAGAATAATATCAAAGTTTTAATTGCAAAATTACAAATGTTACCTAGTTTGATTTAATGCTTACATAATATTTTGTTGGCCACTCTGAATGTTATTTTAAAACTGATTCAAATGTAATATATAGCTTTGATAATAGGTTGATTCATTAGTTTAGCAGTGACCAACCAAGTTCTTAGCCAAACAGTAACCATCTGAGAGTGTGATGCATGAGACTGTATGAGAGCTACTGCTCTAGAGTTAGTCCCAGAACAAATAGCAATTGAAAATCAAATTGCAATTATAAAACGATAATTAAAATAAATTGCTCATTCTTGAAATCAAATGGTCTGTTTTTTGCCATTCCACAATGAAGTCTAATATGCTAATACCTGCAAGGCACATTTATCTTCTCGTTCGTTGCTGCCTAAAGTAAACAAGGCAAACCCACTTGAAACTGAACATATTTTACAATGTTCAAGTGGATTCTGAAGTGTGGCATTATTTTTTCCAGACGTTTTTGATGTAAGCATTAGTCCGTTTCTACATATGTATTGCACTGTGTGGAACTGAAGTGGTAAAGCAGGGATTTTGTTTCATGTCAACTGATGGGGAAATTCAAAATCAATGCAGACCACTGAGTTTGCGTACATCTTGTACTGTATAATAACCTAACACGGAAATAGAAAATATCCCATTGCATTCAGTCAGATTACTGCTACTAACATTAACATACTAAGGATTTACCTAGGGTTCCTATCCTTTTTCATTTCCTTGCATTCAATTAGATAATTCAATATTTGTCTTTTTAACTACTTGAGTGAATATGCAAAATGTGAATCATTCCTATTATAGGGCCTCGATTTAAAAACCTGCAGACAGTTTTGAAGTTATTCTACAGAATCATTAATTATTACAGCATAGAAGGAGGCCATACGGCCCATCGTGCCTGTGTTAGCTCTTTGGAAGAGCTACCCAATGAACAACAACAACAACAAGATTCCATTTATAAAGCGCCTTTCCCGTCAGGAGGACGTCCCAAGGCGCTGCGATCAATCCCACTGCCTCGCTCTTTCCCCATGTCCTTGCAAATCTTTCCTCTTCAAGTACCCACCCGATTCGTTTTTGAAAGTTGTTATTAAATCTGTTTCCACCATCTGTTTCTCCTCATCTCTCTGGTTCTTTTGCCAAGTATCTCGAATCTATGTCCCCTGGTTACTGACCCATTTGCCAGTGGAAACAGTTTCTCCCTATCCACACTTATCATAACTCCTCATAATTTTGAACACCTCTATTAAATCTCCCATTAACCCTCTCTGCTCTAAGGAGAACAATCCCAGCTTCTCTAGTTTCTCCAATAACTAAAGTCCTTTATTCCTGGTACCATTCTCGTAAATCTCCTCTGAACCCTCTCCAAGGTCTTGATAGCCTTCTTAAAGTGTGGTGCCCAGAATTGAACACAATTCTCCAGCTGAGGCAAAACCAGTGACTGATAAAGGTTTAGCAGAACTTCATTGCTTTTGTACTCAATGCTACTATTTATAAAGCCAAGGACCCCATATGTTTTTTTAACAGCTCTATCCACCTGTCCTAGCACCAGGACATAATACAATTCCCAACAGGAACCAGAGTTAAATTGTTGAAAGAGTGCTGAGTTGCTTTGACAAATGTTACTCTTGAAACATATTTATATGCACACAACGCCACTATGATAAGCCTGAGCATGGACTGCTGCACTGTAATTGTGGAGCAAGCTGATCAGAGTCCAAACCAGAGTGCTAATTAAAAAAGGTTTTTGACAATCTCATTTCCAGAAATCACTATCTTTTCTGCCTTTTTTAAAAATGGGGGAGAGGGAATACAACATATTTTCACATCACTGGGATCTGATCAGCCCACTCCACCTATCACACTTAAAACTTATTGTGGCAAAGAATTAACCCCGGGATGCTCAATAAAGAGCATTTTTAATCAATGAAACTTGCAGCAAACATTCCATAGTCCATTACTGTGCATCAATCAGACTTAGTGGGAATTATACTGATATTAATGAATCATTTGAGCCTGTGTTGCCTTTTTTAAAAAACATATATCAACCTTAAGTGAAAGGTTGATATATTTTTTGTTAAAAAAGGCAACACAGGCTCAAATGATTCAGCTGAGCCAGACAAACCAGGATGGTTCCAAATCCAATCCACTCAAGGCTGCCTTAAGTGAACTCAACCCAAAAGACAATAAGGGTGCTGAGATTAACTGTAGGTGTAAACTCATCTAGCATTCCTGCTATTAATAGCTATTCTATGCCCCTTTTGAAGTGGATGTGTGGATAGCAGAGGAGGAAAGCATTAAGTTTGGCTGTGATTGTGATGTCTGCTGTCGTTGAATAGCCTGCCAAAACTCACGGTGAAGGCTGACACGTGAATAATGGCCACTTGGGTGGTTGTAAAATCATAACCAATAGAAAAATAAAAGACAAAAAGCCATCACAAGAAAAAAAATGGTGATGGTGGGGGAAGGAATCCAGAACTGGACCTTGGTGAATATAATAACATTAACATTAACCATCTTTGTAAGAATGTGGCGATGCTTTCATGACAATTCGCCTGAATCTCTGTGGAAAAGCACAAACCTAAGAAATGACATCAGGCACAGCAATTGAAATAAAAGCTTATAGCTATGGGTTAGTCCCTGCGGCAACACCAGATTTTAATGAGAATAATATAAAACAAAAAGATACGTGCTAATTAATGAAAAATCAAGGCTTGGAAAGTACTAGGGGTTTGTGGTTTCCCTGTCTTGATTACGATGCAGAAAGGGATTCGTTAGTGGCAGGAATATTTTATACATGGCTAAGTTTCCTATATTTCAGGTTTTTCAAGGTGAATAGGTCGCACTCCAAAAAAAAATCAGTTTTGTGAAATGTTTTGATGTTTAGTTAAGGTTATGCATTTTAAAAGATTCCCCAAATGAATTAATGCAGACCAGTACCATAGTTACTTGGTGTTTTGAAAAAAGGAGAGATTTTATTATTATTGCTATTATTATTTTCTTTTTTTAAAAAAAACTATTAATACGTGTTCAATGCCTTTAATTCGTTCTGCTAACACCTGGGGTGAAATTATACCAGAGCTGCATTGCTTATTCAGAGAAAGATAAAGCACACCTGCAACAGAGTCCAAACCACTTTCAAGCTTTGTAGCCTGCTGACAGATGACAGTGAGAGAGAGAGAGAGAGAGAGACGAGAGGATATTAACAGTTCACAGTGATTGAAGCACAATACTGATGACATGAGCTGGGTAGCACAGAGCGAAAATATAATGGTATCAATTTTTTTTTTGCATTAAAAAAATACTCCTGCTTTCTCCCTGATCAGTAAGTCACATTTGCTACAGGCTGATTTTGACTTTCCAACCTTCAAAACAGCACCTCGCAGTACAGTACAGTAGATGATTTTCCAGAGATCAGTGTCCTCTCCTGTGCAATACGAGCTAAACCCTCAATTACTGCTGTTTCAGTCTGTTCCAACACCCATCAGCTCAGTAAATTACCCTTACTTTGGGGGGGGGGGGGAGAACACGATTCTGGGAGGGAGATGGGGTGGGGTGTGGGTTCTATTCCACTGTAAAGAGTTGTTATTTTTTATTTTAAAAAAAGGTGGGTTTTTTTTTGGGGGGGGGGGGGGAGTTGAGATGAACTACAATCACATGCATAACACACTGGTGGGATTTTCAGCCAAATGCAGTTCTGCTACAGTTCGATTTACCTTGTGATCAATAAAGTTGATGTATCCATGTAACAGTGACGACTGGGGCTGTGTGTGCCTCTGTTTGCCTCTGCTCTCCTCTTCCCCTCTGTAAGGCTGGGACTGGGTGCTCTGATCTCTGTTGGAGCTGTAGATGACCAGGAAGCTCCCACACACGAAAAGACCCAACAACACAACGATTGCATGTCTCTAAACCCCACCACACACACACACACACACACACAAAAAGAGCCCAAGATTAATAAAATCAGTTTGAAATTTGCTTGTGTGTGTGTGCATATGTGTGTGTGTGTGTATATATATAAGTGTGTGTATGTGTGTATATGTGTATGTGTGTGTGTATATGTGTGTGTATGTATATATATGTGTGTGTATAAAAAATAAGGAGGTTATTACAATACTGTACTTTGCAAAGTCAAATCAGGACCATTTCCAAGCTGACTTAATGTCTATACTGTCAGGTTTTATACTGTTGGCAGGTGAAATCGACTGAAGCTGGTGCTGAGATATTTTATTCTACATTTATTTTATTTTTATTTTATTTTAAAAAAAGTTAAGTTGCAATCAGAGATAACCTTCAACACGTTAGATTCATCCCCCCCCCCCCCCCCCCCCACCACCCCACACACACATACAATTTTGCGTGCAAAGGTTGGGGAAATCACAAGTAATGTACATTTTTTTTTGCATCAATAAATAGTTGCCCACATTACCACCAGCCTCTTCATTCTGTTGCCGTTGTTCTGATCCCACTGGCTTGCACATCTGTAGGCACTTCTCCTGCAACTGTGTTCAGGGAAATAGGAGGAATCGCACATTCATTCCGCGAATGGTTGCACATGAGGAGATGCAAAGAGTGTTTCTTTTGCAGAGATTATTGAGTGAGAATCTCAAACCGTTTCCCCAGTAGTATGCTTATCCTGCAGACTCAACCCTGGGACTGGAACCAAACGTGAGCTCCTCCGGGTCCTAACATCCACCTCCTGTCAGGCACACAATCGTGTTCTTTTGTGATGGTCATGGTCATGGTGGGGTGGTGGGGTGGGATGGGGGTGGGGGGTGTTGGTGGGGAGAGGGTAGAATTGTATATGTGAGTATTACCAATTAGCGAATAGAGAAAAATACATCAGGGCACCTGGGCAAAAAGCAGAAGCGATGAATTTTTTTCATTGGAAACGAGAAAAAAACGTGAATCATTAGTTGACATAATTCCCCGCTTTAAATTTTACTGTCTGCGCTCTGAGACGGCAGAGGCCAAATATGTATGATTATATTCGCCCACAAAGTGCAAAGTACACTTTGCGGTGTATCCTGTGAAGCGCTCTGAGACGCTACCCGACATGGAGGGCGCTATATAAGTGCAAGTTGTTGTTGTTGTGATGTCTAAACGAAGTGATCAGGCTGCCGTTTCTAAAATTCAAGGATTATTATTATTACAATACTCAAATACAATGAAACTGTAGCAAGGTTTACAAAACAGAACAAAAAAGGAACTGCCCATGAGACAAATACTACCCAATTCTATCAAAATATCTCCCAGTGATTCATTCAACCGCACTCTACAATTTTATCATATAAGGATGATCTGCAAAAGTGACACTTAATCTTTTACATAACATGAATACTGCAAAGAAAGAATGCCTACTGACAACAAGATGCCAGGTCTCATCTAAAAGGATTGTTACAAACGACTGGCATGACAGGAAAACAGCTGAATTTTAATAAGTATTGTACAGAAGCAATTTCTGGTATTCATGCATTTGGATAATTTCTCTTTTTGGCAAATGGTTTATTCCATGCTGTATCTAGCCTTTTTTTTGAAAATATTTTTGGTAATTGACTTGAAAGAAGCTGATTTTTTTTCCAGGTGACTTCAATCTGTCACAGATTGACAGACTGGCAGTGTTCCATAAAGATTGAAAAGTTAATGTGGGCCAATGCTCTTTGATCTAGCTTACAAAAGTCTCTGCTATAATGTGAACCTAATTCGGCCTCAGTGTCTGGTTGGACATTAATTGGTCAAAATGCTTGTTGATGGATTGTAAGGTCAGATCTCTTGCTCTGTTCCTAGCCTGAGAATTATCTTAATCAGAGTAGAAAGTGCAGTGATGTCCATTGATTTTGCTCATGCAACCAGATGCCCAATTATTAGTTTCACATCTTGCCCCTCTTTGTCTTAAGTGTTTTTCTCCTTATCTAGGAAAGGAGGGGGTTATATGAAAAGACAATTACAGTAACGTAATCGGATCTGTTCACAGCCCTTTCACGTGGGCAGTTGCTTATTTCAGTCGTTAATTCATTACCTTTGATCATTTAGGTAATCCTTTTGATCACTTAATCCATTTTGTAACCCATGCACATCATGTACTACTGGTTGGAGTTTTTTGTGAGGTGACTGGGTTATTTAGTTTACAAATGCAAAAAAGACTTGAATGTCCTGGAGGATTGTTCAATGGATTTCATTCCTACACTACAAGCTATGTTAATTTGTTTCTCTTCAGTCAGTGCCAAATATTGAACTTCTGCCCACTCAGAAACATGATGGCCCATTCACAGCGACTGCCCTTACTTATTTTGCACTAAATATTCTATCACATAAAGCATTCTTGAAATTAACAAGCTCCAAAACATTGTTAATGATAAAAATCAAACACCTGCCACTCTTAAAACATTATCAACCCACCTGATCTCTCCGCTCAGCGGGCACTGATCTGCTCTATATTCCCTGCCCTGCCTGCCCTGCCATATATGGTCGGGCCTTCAGCCTTTCTGCCCTCACCCTCTGAAACTTCATCCGAGTCCTTTTGCCATGCCCCCTCCCTTGTCTCCTTCCTTTTGACCATGCCTTCAGTAATCCTCTCACCCCCACTCCACCCCCCCCACTGCCACCGCCCCACCTTGTTACCAACCACCAACTTAGGTGCAAACCCTTGACTGTCCAATGCCTTAGGCCGTTCTCCCAACATGAAAGGTGCAATTTGCTGTTGTTGTTACTTCTTGTATTGACTTTATCCCACATATGAGGTGGGTTTGTGAGACTTGTGAATGAATTACTGTGTGCATTATATGCTATTTGCACCCCATGGAAGATCAATTTCTTGTTCAACACCTCAGTGGTGACTAGCCGATGTAAGTAATTATATGTGTGGTGATACTGTACATGAAAGTTAGACAGTTACTTCAATGTTGATACAAGTTACAAACCTATCCTATTGTAATTGTGTTTTCAACTGGGCCCAATTCATTCTCAACAACAATCTACTGTACTTCAAATTATAGAAATGTCATCATTGAGGTGAAATCCACTGAACATTGATGTTAATACTGATAGCAAGCCACAAACTAAATACAACAAGTCTATACAATACAAAGTTTATTTTACAAAAGTGCAGATGTCAGGACTGATTGTAAGATGGTAAGTTCATCTTGAGTTCAGATGCTAAATGTAAACTAGCGAGAACAAAGTTGAAGTGGTTCATGAGATCACCCTGAAGACCTTGATCAGATTTGTGCTCAAATCCACTCCTGGTAATCCTTATTCCATATATAACCTGTTGCCTTGCAGCAATTGATCACATAAAGAATTGTTCAAAAATGTTTTGATTTTCATTATTTGCCCTTTTCACATTAAATATTAATGACCAAAGCAAATGATTGATTATTTGCACTGAATAGTTGAAATCAACTATCAGCAGTATTGGTTTCCACACATAATGTCAAAAGAATTATACTATAAAACATAAACTAATTAACAACTGAGTAGCTCTTAATTAATTGCAATCCATTCAATAACATAAATTTGTGCTGCTCTTTCATTGTGTGCTCAGACCATTTAAAATGAGTCATGTAATAGTAGTGTTTGTTAGCGTGCAAATGTGCAGACTGCTGCAAAGAAATTATATTTTGGATCAACAACAAAATTACCAATAGTAAGATCTAAACGCTTAGCTTCTGGCACATAATTTCTTCTGTATGGTTGACATTTCTGTGGAGTCCTGTAGCTCAGTGATTAGAGCACTCACTTTGCAAGTGACAGACCTGAGTTCAATTCCAGGCAGAGGGCGAAACCTTGGGCAAGTTTCCTTACTCCACACAGAGCCTAATAATAATCCCTCCAAAAAAACAAAAAACAATAATAAATTGGTCATTTTCAATCCATGACTGTTTGTGGGACATTGCTGTGCGCAATTGGCCGACGCTTTTGCCCACAAATATACAGTCAATTCACTTTACAGTATATTCTGTGAAGTGCTTTGGGACGTCTAGAAGACGTGAAAAGCGCTATATCAAATGCAAGGATTATTATTATTATTATTCAGCTGGTCATTAATAATACTTGCATCTGATGTAGCACCTAAAATGTTACAACGTCTCAAAGTGCTTCAAGGGTAATTGTTATCAAGTAACTATTTGTAGCCAGATACAATAGTCAATTTGCACACATAAGGTCCCACAAAGAGCCATGAAATAAATGGCCAATTTATATTAAGGAATGTTAGGACATCAGGAAACATTCCTAGGGTCTACTTGGATTCTGAGTATATTAAATGTTATGCAAAACATCTATCTGGCTAATGATAAATTCAGTTTAAGAATGTGAACATTTAAATGATAACTGGTGGCAATTTATTTATGATTAATGCATTTTCTTACACGATTCGTTCCAGAAACAATTTGAAAGTCATAAATAAATGGGATAAAATAACTGGAATATTGTGCCACTTACCATATGTTACTGGCTTTGTTTTATTCATGTTAAAGACCATCATCTCTCACAAGTGTATAAGAATCTATAGAACAACAATGGTCTTTGAGCTTATCAAATTCATTCCATCCAGAGGACGAATGCTGCAAATCGCTCCATATATTGTTATTGTTGTGCAACTCTGGATCATGTAAAACCTCCATCCCATCAATCACCATCTTAACCTGGCTTGAAGATAATAACTTTCTATACTTTATATTGGTAATCTGTCAATTCAGTTTTTTTAAGAGTCAACATTTACTGTACTTGACAGTAACTTTCTGAAGTTCAACAAATCTAGACATGAAGTTCCTCCTACACTTTGTAATCTCAAGGATTATACTGATCTGTTGAGCAAAATAATACATCAATTACGTTTATGATTCTGAATGTTTTTCTCAGGAATTCGAGCACTATTCTTGAACTGATATTGTGCTTTATTTGTGAGTCTTTTATGATCACTTTAAAGATTTGTTCTTTACACTCCTCAGCTCCAATGTTTCTGACAATCTACTACAGCAATGTTTTTTTCTCTATTAATCATTTTTAATGCATTCTAAAGGTTATGTTCAAACATTAGCTTACGCCTACTCCTAAAATGCTTTATCTTCAAAGCATCACCATCTTGTAATCATTGTTAATATTTTTCACATCTTGTATTGATTTTCATTTATGCACATTGTATTCCTTTTGCTCATCCTTAGTTCAATGGTTGCCAAATAATAGTAATATTCGCTGTATGTGGTTATAATTATGATTCATAACTATATGCAACATTAATATTTGGTATATGATTATGAATCTTTTTGGATGCCGAACTCTGCAATAAATATGTGTTATGCTCACACATAATCATATATTATCAGAAAATGAAGAATTTCTGCCTTTAATCTCCAAGATAGGATAAGCATTCAAATTGTGAATATAGAGCTCTAAGGAATGATCACTGGAGAATTTCATTACTCACTTCTTCCTAATTTATACTGTTACACATTTAATATTGTATTCATCCCTTCTGTTATCACCTAATCACTTTTTAAAAACAAAACTTAAACGTGCTTCTCAATTTCAATTAAGGGGAGCCTCTGAATTTCATCAAGAGTCTGTTACAGGTAACTTATGTGGTAATGGTTAGCATATAGTTTCAATCCTCATTTAATTTAGAATTAAATCTTTGAAAACAAAGCCCACTAAATTCATAAGTGATTATCTCCTTTTCAGAAACCCTTGTTTTACTC